ATTAAGCCAAGACGGGAATAAATCCTATCAATTGCGAAAGGAAATATGCATATTAAAATTAATTCAGAATTAAAAACTTAATCTCATAAAATAGCGTAATAAAAAAATAATAGAAAAATCCAATATTCCTTTACCAATGAACTTTCATGGACTATCAGCTTCCAGCAGCAGTATTTCCGAACCGATACTACATCGTAATTATCAAGAAAAAAGCATATTCCTTTTTAAAGGATTGAGAACACGTCTACAATTCCTTCAGTATTGCGAGTGCTCATGGGTGGCGGTATTATTATTAGGCGAGCTGCATACTCGTTTGCATCCTGTGTTATAAAAAAAGAGAATCATTACAGAATTTCTTTGTGCAGAAAATATACGAATGTATGTGAACATTTAAAATTCCAACGGCGCTTGACAAGTGATAAGTTTATTACCGTTATATTAGTTTAAATGGTTGCCGAAAACCGCATGACACGATGGTTTTAAATGTCACACATACAGAAAATGTTTAACGCATAAAATTGTTGGACATACACCAGAGTTTTATGTCACGAATACTAAGCTAAGGAAATACAAACCATTACGAGATCTCTATATATAGATGCGTTGTTCGTCCGTCGGTCACGTTCGTAGTCCATTAATACTTGTAATTAAGAACAAATGTTACGTATGAACTGACGGACAAAACCATATGAATACTTGTTTTATCTATATATAAGAAACATTGTTGTGGGTTCGATTCTTGCACAATAACAATATAGTTGCCTAGTTAATGCACCAAGTAATCTGTCAATATACACTTGAAACTATTGAGCTTAGGAATCTGAAAATTGTATTTGAAATACTAGTATCTACCTGCGATTTCGTCGACATTATATTAACAGAAAGACACAAATAAAAGGTAATATGTACTCTTCTACATTAAAAATACAACCTATGTATCCAATTGCTTTCAAATTTATCATATATGTTTTGTATAAAGTGAAATCGTTTACTACATTAATACTGTAATGTAAATTGTTAAAAGAAAGCACTCTAAGATGTAATTAAAATACATCTTTAGACAATTAATTTTATATATTGGTGATGTGGCACAAATAGTATGACAGGTTGCAACTCCACAAGTGGACAATGAGAATACTATAGTCATAAAAATAATGTAAGCCAAGTGTTAGCAATCCCATTAATAAATTAGGGTACCGAAGTTGAGATAATTCTTGTCAATAGGGTATTATAAATATGTTAAATAGATATAATAATAATTATAACAAATACCTACAATTATTTAAATAACTGTTTAATTGTTAAAAAGAAAAAAAAACTTAAATTGTCTAGGCGAAACAGTATACTCTGTTATGTCCATGGTACTGCTCATGTCTATAGACGACGGTTACCACTTTCCATCAGGTGTACCGTCAGCTTGTTTGCCATTCTAAGTTGTATAAAAAAAAAATAAGTCTAAAACAATCTGCAGTACTAATATTTATAATAATAGTGAAATAAATATTGAAGAAAATATTTTAAAAAATCCATATATCTAGCTTTACGCTGCTAAAAAAATTATTGTTTTGTAATTTTCGTCGCAAAAAATAACGACTTCAATTGTAAAAAAAAAAAAAAAAAACAACGAGAGTACACCCTATCCTTCCTATCGTAATGTCAAAGATATCGGTTAACATATACACAAAAAAAAATACAGCCGGATCGAGAACCATTCTCTTTTTTGAGGCCTTTTAAAAATTATTTCACCTGATCCTTCCAATGGCGTATAATTGGGAAAGCATTCGACCCAGATAGCTGAGAGAACAGACTACCTTTTGCCGAGTATATCTGTCAGCAATCTACGAATCCTGTCAGATTAAATTCTTATCAGAGCGTTTAATTTTAAAGGAAAGGACTGGCGGACTGCATTAATTTCGCATTCCTATTTAATTTCTTTCAAAAATTAATATAATAATAAAGTTTACACCATTATATTCTTCATGTCAGACCATGCATGGTGTAACATCTGATGTTTTGGCAGTTTTTACTGTACAAAAAAAAAATGTATTGAGTGAAATTGTAAGAATCCAAATAAATAAAAAAATATTAATACTTTTTTCACGATGATTTCTTCATCTATAAGTTATGTTTGATAGTATATCTGACTGTTGACGGATAGTGTTGCGGGTTTCAGTTCTCTTTAGCAAATTAGTCTAAATTAAATTGTGTCTGTTAACGAGACTCGGTGTAAAGTTGGAGGAATGATTTGAACGTGTAATATGTATTATTGATTAATTGGTGAGTTGTTCTTGCAAAATAAACTTATTATTAGTATTATTATGTTTTATAATCTGTTTCCATAGAATTTAATCAAAAGTTAATCGAGTTTAAATTATCACAGAAATATGTATATAAATGAAATTAGTAACAAATCGACTCATTTAATCGACTTCGAGCGATTAACCGATATTCGATTTGTACTACTATTGGACACTTGTTAATATTTTCATTAAGTGCTTAATTATTTTTGTGTTTTTTTTTCTATAGTTTTAGTTACCTAACACCTACACCACAGGTAGTATAATACAATACTAGTCATCTGTACTATTCTATTATGCGCAGAATACCTATAGACTAACAAAGTTTTACTACAAAATGAACTGTTGTTTATATTATACGATACGGAACCCTAAAACGAACTCGAATACAAACAATGTCCTCATTAATAATAATCAAACTAACTCGCCTGTTATAAAATAAAACACCGTGTGAACTGTAACCGGCATTGATGCTTTTAGCAGATGTTAAATCAGGGCCTTACCAAACATGTGCTCGGGCGTACGGCTTGCGACAATACTCTTTAAGTAGGCCATCAATCAATCAACTAATTAGTTTGTAACTATATTACCCCCTTACTTAAACGTTAATAAAATTTATTCGATAGCTAATTAATGATTTGAGAGTAAATGTCAAATTATCCATTAATTATCTAGAAGCGTGATTGTCATATAATTAGAAGTGAAAGTTCGTAATAATTTTAAATTGTTTTGATATATAAACGACGGTATGAATTTGAATTAAATTTCAAACATTAAATAGATAACATAATAGGACGCTTTTTATCCCAATTTATTTATTTCTTCTTTATTGCAGAATAAAACTTTGTATAAATAGCGAGCTTAACGCTATCCATATGGCATTCTCTACCAGCTAACCATTAGGTAAAAATAAAAAGCGTATGAAGGGTAGATGTGGTGAAAAATATGTGACATAATTATAGTAACATACTGAAGTAATAATACACAATAGTTGAGAAATGCTCTCACAAACATTACTCGTAATATAAAGGAGAATATCGTAAAATTATTTGTAATTTTTATTTTTTATTCATCGTATTATATATTTGAAAATGAATTTGGTGATGTTTGGATGTTTGCTACTCTAATAGCTGAATGGACTTGAATAAAATTTGGTACACAGATAGATTATATCCTTAATTAATATATAGGATAAATTCTTATACTAAATTAGACAAAAGCGCATGATACTGCTAGTTCAGAGGAAATACAAAAACGTTTTATAAATAATCTATTTTTAGATCATGTTTATAAAGCATCAGACAAATAATGTCACAGTCCAAATACGAGTAGTAGTAAAACAAAGAGTACAATGTGGAACTAAATGTTGCGTTTAACGGAACACATGGCTTAATTGTTAAAACTACAGTACTACATTGTATATATATTCAATAACAATATATTACGTCTGAATACTAATGAAAGATTCTCATACATATCTTTTAACAATCAAAGACCTTCAAATAGAAACATAATTTGGAGAAAAAGTATTTTACAAGCGCAATTTCGTTAACGCATAGACCTCGGCCGCGACAAGCTTTTAGATCACTTAAGAATATTAATATACTGGTTATAAATAATACATGTTTATGTATCATACTTCTACTGATGATACTAATTATATCGAACAGTTAAATTGAACACTTTTGTAGGTTGTTACTTGTAAGGTTTAAAAATCTACGAATTTTATGAATGTCTTAGTTTATTTTTTTAATTTTTCGTACATTATTACTTAGTTTTTTTTTTTTTATTGAGTGTCATTTGTATATCAATAAGCTATATTTTTGAAAATAGATTATGATAAAGATGTACCGTTTCGGTTTTGCTACGATTTTATTTTAAGAAAAAAAAAATTAATCCTGTGAACTGAAATATTTGTTTTCGTGTATTTCTTCTTGTTATTATTATTGGTGTAGTTACTGTTTCACTAACCGTTCGCACGTCATTCACTGTCTTTATTTCCTTCGGAAACGTAGAACGTCGGTATGTTCGGATGTGTCGTAAAAATAATATCCATTATTATAATTGGGGCGGCGGCGACGCCACACGTGCGGTTTCCAACTCGAAATAGTTTTATATGTTTTTCCACCGGATTCCCTAAACGGATTCCTTTGTCTACCTACGACTTTACAACAGGACGGAGAGAATTTTATATATAATAGAATATTAAATTAAAGTAAACGTATACTTATTTTATGCAAGTTTGAAAAATTTAAGTTTTATACCTAACTTATACTTCTTATACTGTAGTATTGTATGATATTTCTCCTGAAGACTATTTTAATGGATGTTTGTTCAAATAAGAAATAACATAATTATTTAAGGAATTTGCGCTTCCACAATTACCAACTCTCTAGTTTTTAAATTATTAATTGGATAAAATTATTTTCATATATAAAAGTTTGTAAGAAGACACTCTAGATGTCAATGATCTCTAAAGAAAGCTCAGTATGAGATATACGAAACTAAGATAAATTTTATCTTTATATACCAGTCAATCAGACAGTATGGCTTTTATTGATTCGTCTAGACCATGACATTAGGAATGTATACTCACTGTAATAATGTTTAATTGGCTACATTTTCACAAACGTATTATCAATGATTAAAGAATAGTTTATAAATGTACTTCTGTGTTTTTCTCATTAGAAATTACTCTTTTTTAGTAGTCGGGCGAAATTGGCGTGTAACAATTAAAGAACTCCTTTAATTAGTTGCCGACTCGCCTTATAAGCTGGTGAGGCGTCTCGCTTTTTACAGACAATACAATTAAATAGCAATTTTTCAGCTGATATTAATTGTGCCCTAAATATTCGTTTGGATATTAGAATACTTTGGTGTTTTTAAGATGTTCTTGTTGAAGTCGGCAAGAGTTTTGTGTTTGAAAGTAATTTTAATAAGATATTTATAATGAATTCTCAGAAATAGTATATGAACAATATATACATATATTTACCTTTAAAACTTTATATAAAAGTTGTCTGCTTGAACACCTCTGTCCCATTCATGTTTTCTGCCGTGAAGCAGGTATGACCGTGTTTTGGTTTGAAGGGTCCCACCCTATGCTTATGTTAATGAAATTACAGGGTACAGAGGCATAACACCTTAGTCCACAGCCATGGCAACGCATGAAGGATATCATGGGTGACGTAGTATACTTTGTTATGTCCATGGTACTGATATAGGCGACAGGTTACCACTTTCCGTCAGGTGAGCCGTCAGCTTATTTGTTATTCTAATTTTAATAAAAAAATCAAATGTTGAAATGTATACTACCGCATTGCTCGAATAAATCCAGTCCCTCTAGATAAGTGGTAATTGTATTTATCAATAGATATGTTATCGCTATCTCCTACATCAAGTAAAGTGAGTCTGGAACATCCGTTTTGCTCTTTTTCGAGCTTTCTTTAATTAAAACGTATCTTACAGTAATTTCGTTTTTCATTTGTTTAAGAGGCAGTGTATCCTGTGTACCAAATTTTATTCAAATCCGTTTATTTGTTTAATTGTCATTGAGTGACAAACTTTCAAACAACTTTACAACCTTTATAAATTTATAATATTAATGACATAGAGAATATTTCAATAAATACAAGAACAGATTCCATACAGCTTTATTCCATAATAGCTGATTCCCTAAATTGATCAACCCCTATCAATTGAGCGTTAAATATGTAAATAAGTTGGGCTAAAATAGCTGTATACTGACAGTGTTCTATGGTGTAGGGTGACATTCAAGCATTAAAAGTAAAGGAATTTTGTATAAATAAAAATTAACCGTTTCAGATATAGTTTTACTTTTCTATCATAACAGGCATAATGCTAAAAATGTAAGACAATACTTTAAAGGGAATGCTATGAAAATAAAATAAATGTTAGAAAATCAACATACATGCGATACAACTTTATACTTATTCATTTGCATTGTAGAAAACATATTGAAAAACTGACACAGACATTAGACATTAACTAATATATTATTTTTTATTTATCATTTTACACATGCAGTCAATATTTTCCATTTTTTCAGTGGCAGATTTAGCAGCAGGCTGAGTAGGCTAAAGTCTAGAGCGGCAAATTTGAAGCCAATTTTGATTGCGAATTACGATATTGAATTATAGAACTCAGTAGAAGCGGTAAAATTTACATACTCTACTGGGGGAAAAGATGTATATCCGCTACTGATTTTTTTTTTTATTAAATGTCACTGTTAACACAGTGATACTTAATACATACGTAAAATTTTAATAATATATCAACTTAACTTGATAAAAAATATTAAAGATTTTACGAAAAATTTTTTTTATCACAGTAGGCATTTAAGAATTCATTCACCATTTTCATCTAAATAAATTAAATATTACTCTTATTAAATCTATATAAGTTGAACCTAAATTTTTTAATATCTCTGTAGATTATTGATGCCCTTTAATTCCTCTTCCTTTCTTTGAAGAAGCAAAATAGATAAAATCATATCGGAAAAATTAGTTCAGAGTATGATATACCACAAAGCCGATATACCTAAAGAAGGTGAAAGCCCTTGAAAATAAAACACAATAAGTATTCTATTTTATTGTTATAACTGTTTGTATTCTGGAGTAAAAAACTATAAGTATTGTAAATTGTTTGTCACCCTACCGGTGTAACCGTATACTGTAAATGACTAGCAATTAGTTGCGTAGTTACGTATCGAGTTACAGTTTTGTCGAATCGAGTTGATAGTGGATAGAGATAGCAGGATAGATATGATGTTGTTGATTAGAAAAAAAATGTTTCTATAGATACCTCGATGATGATCACGGTCATTAAAAGCTTTAAAATACTCAGCCATAGAGAGAATGCTCGGAGTTTTTTTGCGTGATAGAATTCGCAAAAAGGATATCCGTAGGAGAACCAAAGTGACTAAAAAACCTTGAAGGATAAACAACCTGAAGTGGCAATGGGCTGATCACAGCTCGAAGAACTGCCAACCGAAGGGGAAGAAAGATTCTTAAGTGGAAACCTCCGTACAGGCACACCCAGTGTAGGATGACTCTCGACGATGGAGTGACGACCTAATGCATTGCAGGGAGCCACCTGCATGATAGCTTATGATCGTTCCTTATAGTCTATGAGGGAGGTCTATGTACAGCAGTGGACAAACAAGGACTGGTATGATGATGATGATGATGATGATAGATACTTCGATATTTACGTCATCAAAATCAAAATACGTAGAACATTATACAGTACAAGTAAATTTGGGATAATAAATTATTTCATGAATTATATTGCTGACTTAAAATACAACTAGATTCTCTTGACGAGATTTGTATACAATTTAAAAATCTTGTCTGCATCATGTTAAGAAATTCTCTCACAACTTCTATGTTCTGTGTGGTGCAGGCGATGAAAATTTCCCGCTGTGCAGCGGGCACCGGATTTTATAACAAGTTGTCGCTGCATTACGTACATTGCGATGCACGTAAATAAAATACAAAAATATGTCGTCTATTGCTCTATGGGTCATGTAGCATCGGCATAGATTAATGGACGTGGAGATTGCTTTTTTAAATTATTTTGGCGCCAAACTAATTTTGTATCTGCTGTCAGCCTACAATTTTGTATATTGTTTTTATTTGAATTTGATAAGTTGTTACCAGTAAAGTTTTCTGAATGCCTCCCAATTGAGTTAGATGGACTAATTTTGCGATCAAAGTTTTTAATGGCTGAAAATGAAATAGTTACCCTACTTACGCTAGTAACACTAGTGACGAATAATAGATAAGGATAAAGCATGTCAATTGGCCCATTGTGAGGAATTCATTAATAATTAATTACAATGGTTTCCGCGTGGAGGTCGACTTGATGTGGTATATTGCTCTTTCCTCTCATACTAATATTACCGCGTCGTACGTTTATATATAATACGCTTATATATATATCAGTGCTTTCCATATTGACATATTGAGCTAAACTGATATATATATATATTATAGAAAAAATATTTCTAAAGTATATATTTTTCGGGAAAATATTGAAAATCATTAGTAGAAATCACATTGCAAAGACATGATTTTGATTTTACTATGAATATCTTAGACATCTTCGTGTTGGCAACAATATAATAAGGAAGACACCAAAAGTTTCAGTGACAGAAAATTAATCTATCATAGGTGTGAATTAAATAGATTTAAGTACTAATCAATGATAAGGTGCATGTACGTCATAATAAAACGTTTTGTTAGGTCGATTTATCAACACTATTCATGGCGGGGATATAAATAAAATTGACATTATCAGCCAGTGATAACACGACCTCGATCAGTCATTCCGATATTGAAGTAGATATAGGTACCTATCTTGCGCAATACATATATTGCCATATATCTATCCAAAACTAGGTAAATTCTGCATACTATAGACAAGTTGGCACCTACTCTTATCTATTCTGTATTTAAAAGTAAGTAAATATGTTTTAAATGTGTACATTGTCTATGATTACAGATACTCTGTTGCATAATAATGTATAATCTCGTACTATCCTTTATGTATATAATAAACTAACTTCCATATACAGTATTTTAGCAATTCAAGTGTTTATTGTACACACATATATTACGTGTGTGTAAAAACCGCCGTGTGGCCCCAGCATAGAATAGGCTACCCCTTCTTTTCCCGTGGGTCTCGTAAGAGGCGACTAAGTGAGAGCCAGGGATGGGGAGCAGCGTCTCTCTTATAATATCTCCCTCACCTAACTGCGGTTGCCAATTCGTCTGCTAAGCGTGGCAATTACAGGCAAAATACCCCAAGGGGTATGCTTATGGTCAGCAGTAAATAGTTAAAGGCTGATATGATGATGATGATGTATAAAAGGAAATTTATGAATTTACTATGTTTGTCGTTTCAACAATTGTCGGAATTGTTTCGACTTAATTCGGAAGTTTTCTTTTTCTGAAGTCGAAACAATCATTGGAAACGACAAATATAGTAAGTTCATAAAATTTCCATTATACATACATAAATGTCGTTAAAAAATGAACCTAAGTTTTAAAAACAATTGAAATGTTTTGTCTCATTGTATTGTGCAAATTTCTCAATTTATGACAAAGCGATTAAACAGTCTAACATAAAAAATAGGTTATGAGAGATTTGAATATAAATAATTGTCATATAAAAAAAAAAGAAGCGGACAGGGTTTTAGCCTAAATCAAGTTCAATGAGTTTTTTTTTTTTGTGTGAATCGTATAATACAGTTTTTTAGAGTCAAGTTTATTTTTCTTCGACATACAAACCAAAATAATTGGGAGGCAAAAAAGGATGTATTTACATACGAAGCACCAGCAGATATATAGTTATATACCTCAAATTAGCATAAGGTTCAACGCCATTGTAATTATGGCCGCATACGAGTGAGGTTTTAAAATTAAAAGGACCTCGGAGCCTCTTCTTTTCGTGAGATATTTTTATAGAAAGAAATCCTGAGTTTAATTGTTGATATCCTTTTTCATGCAGTGTGATCAAATTTCTTAAAGTTTATAAAATAGTGCTGTAACTGCACTGTCAAAAATAGAAAAAGGAAGCAACTGATGAAGTCATTCCAAATACTATTTAGAAATCAAAATCAAAAAAGGAAATTGCATTGCAAATGACCATTTGCCAATAACCATATAATATTTGGTCATTTATATACATTCATTTTTTTTATAATCCTTCCATTCAATTCAGTAACATATTCAACCGAAAAGGTCTGACTCGACTGTATTAACGTACAATCAAATTAAATGAAATTTATTTGTCAGAAACATTATAGATAAGAAGTTGCATTTGTCAAGTTTACAAGATGTCCATTATGTTTCACCACATCAAATGCATGCAAATATTAATCACTGAATTTACATATATTTATTTAATTCTTTAACTACTTATTACAATTTATAATTTTAACAAAAACACAAAAATCACTACCTACTGGTATCAAGTGCATGCTTTGGATCATGCATAATATTTTATATGCACTAGTCAACAAAGCTATTATACAGTAAATAAGAATGATAGAAAAGTTATATGTCAAATGAAAATCAATAAAAATAAAATTAATAATAATTATATTATAATTAAACTTTCAACACTAAATTAATGAAAACAACGAGACCACAATATAACGATAAAACTTAACTTACGCTAAAGTGCTTTATTTTTGGTTATTACTAATAGGTATTGTGTTATTTATACGTTGTGGTTTTTTTAAATGAATATGTTATAAAATAATTATGGCATCAAGTAGGTATCAGTAATCTATGCAAGTATTTCCAGGAAGTATCTAGTTAGCGTATCGCAAAACTAAAGTTCCTAAGCCGGAAGTAGGTGTTCAAACACGAACATATTCGTCGTGGGAAATGACATCACTCAACTACATATTGTGTCCGTATAGCGCGATTACTTTCAATAATTTGGCAATATTATCTTTTAGATAGGGTGATCAAAGTAGGCAGGTAATTAGCAATTAATCAAAACCTGTTCCTTGTCTGACAAAGAGTTTCTTTCTTCGACGCTAAACATGCATTAGGTGTGTATATACGGGGTGTTTTACTGCCTATGGTTGTATTGTGTTATGTATGGTTTTTATGGCAATATTTAATGGAGTTTTTTGATTTAAGAAGTTATTGGAAAATTTAAAAGTAGTTCTTTATTTTTAATTTAGTGAAAAAAACTGATTTTAGCTGTGATTTGAAGTAAGGTGAATTAAAGCTCTTCCAACAAAAAACTACAGCAATCATAATAAAAAATACTAACAAATTAACATGAAATTAAACTCCATCGATTGAAAAAAAAGAATAAAAAAAAATTGTTGAGAATTTACGAAGAAATATAGCAAAATATATTTACACCTAAAACAATAGATTGAAATTTTGAAAAGTTCCTCGTTTCGTAATCGCTTAAAAATAACTATCGTGCAAACAAAATAACAATTATTTACTATTTTTAATAAAGAAGCAGTAGGCAATTCTGGTCAAGCTGAGTACCAATAAAATTAATCAACGCAAAAGCATCCCGCATAACAACTTGAAGTGAATTATCTTCGGCTTGATTTAAACGAATACAAATAAACGGAGATTTATTTTATTCAAGTCATATTTTTGCAAAACCGCGCATCTCTAAAGATGGCGCGTATGACATTTTAATTAATATTTTGTTTATGTTATTTTATGTATAAATTATTTATCAAGTACCAACAAAACTTATGCTTATGTAAGAAAAAAATTATAAATAGTACATGACTGAACTAATACTACCTATCAATAGTTATAAATGGCATCATAATATTTTTATTAAGTTTACTTGATAATCTTTTTTTTTATTTTACTTATAGAATATCTTACTTAACATAAAAATGTATAGCCGAAGGGATTTAAATAAAATTTAAAACTTAAATACTTTACCCATAGGATAAAATACTCTAAATTGTGTTCTCAACCATTACCTGTCCACTGCTGAACATAGTCCTCCCCTATAGACTTCCATAAGGAACAGCCTGAGCCGCCTGCTTCCGTTGTCTCCCTGAAATGCATTTAAGGTCGTTACTCCATCTAGTGTGAATCTACGAGTACATCTACTCTAGGTAGTCTAAGGAGTCTCTACTCAAAAACCTTTCTTCCAGTTTTGTATAAAACCACGCGGGAAAAGCTGTAAATAAAGCGAAATTGAAAAAATCTCCAAAAATATCAGTGACCACAGCTATTTTTGTGGCAAGAAAAGACTACAGCCATACCTACTATGACTGTGTCTGTATCTGTAATGTAAATATTTACGTTTCCAGATTCGAACGAGTCACTGTAGGTTAAAGCTATTTGCACATACCATGTTATATTGATATTTTTAACATTTATATTAAATACTAGATTTTGTTGCGATTTATTTTGTTTTTAATTTTATTTTGAATGAAAAGCCTAAATCTAACACGTCATGTGTCTAACTTTTAAACTGACGAAATACCATATAAACATTCAACCTAAATTCCTTTCTTATTCTTACCTATGCTATATAAGGAAACTATCTATAAAATTTCAAGATTCTAGATTCAGCGATTTTGGCTGTGGGTTCTTATATGAGTCAGTCAGAATTTTTTTATATAGACATATAGATATCAAGCTGTGATACGAGGTTTTTTCTATGTAATAAAATATTAGCTTTAATCATATATTAATTTAGGATATAGTCTGTTCATGAACTAAATTTTGTTTAAATCTGTTGAGCTACATAGACGTGAATACATGATTGATGCAAATATTTAAACATGTATAAAATTTTGTATTTATGGAATTTATATATGGAAATTTAATTTAATACACATTTTGCAATGCTCAAAGTCGTTCCGTGAATATTCTCTTTTGCATTTTTCAATCACGATTTCATAGCATTTACTGTAATTCTGCTGTTACAAAAATAGTGAATAGGAATGATTAATTCATAATTATAGAAAGTCTACATTTTGTATACCAACAAAAAAAAACAAGATGATGTGAGGAAAAGAAAGTAAGTGAAGAATCAAGAATCAGTTACTCCTCACAGAAGAGTTGTTAAACAAGTGAATCAACAAAATAATATTGGTGCAGCGTTTCATTTCATGCCGTCGTTCGTAATGACAATAACGAATTACGTCTTAAGTTTTAGTTAGTTTTAATTTAATTATCGACAGTCTTAATGAAACGATAATCTAATTTTGAAATTATCTCTCTAAATGAAATCAGTAAAAAGTATAAATATTGATTTAATGTGTCGATTTTTTATTTGTACTGCTATTGCACATCAGCACACTGTATTATGGTCAAGTCAATGACTTTGTTTTAATTTTCAATCTAAGTTTTATTAAAAAACCGATATTGATAGTATTCTGATTAAATGTCAGCGAGTTTTTGCTCTAAGTTTTCTTCCTTAAATTCTTCTCCATAAATCTTTCCGTCAAATGGAATTCAATATATTCGTACTCTCGGTTCCTCCGGCTACAAATTATGAACAAAACTCTCTAATTTGAGGCCCGCAAAATCGAGCGTATGCTAAATTTCCTTTTGTGTAGATTTTGATTCTGTTTAACGTATTTCGTTTAACTTTTAATATAACTTCGTTTTTGTTGAATATTAACCAAGGTATTTTTAAAAGTTTTATCTAGCTAGATTATATATTTCATCAACATTTATTCTCAGATTACACTTCTGTTGTACACACATATTGGATAAACACTTGACAGATAATATACCTTTCGATGAATTTTTATATCAAACTAATAAAAGTGTTCCATTTATTGAAGATTTGAGTGTATACAATAAATATATATAGTTCGAAGCAATAATATAGGAAGCTCAAATCAGAGACAAAACGTGTGGGCTTCGTGACAAGCGAATCGAGCGTAGGCAGTACTCGGTTATGAACTTAAACTGTTGAAATATAAGCTTACGCCAGCGTTGCAACCACAAGACAGCTTTTTTTTTTTATTTTCGTATATTTTGAGACGTGAAATTGACGTCATTTTGGCGATTTCTTTGGACAAATATTTACTTAAAACATCTTGAGTAACTTACTACCATTTCGTCCCGAATTTAAATGAGATTGAGTATTTATGTATTTTAACATATAAAATTGAAAAAACAAAAACTAACAGATGTATTTATGAATAATAAGCAGCATCTAATAATGAACAGCATCGTGGACATCACAGAATAAAAAAAAAATTTAATACTACTAATTTTTATTTCATTCCTTTTTTTTAAATTCAAAGAAAATAAAATTTGTACTTCTATAATTTCGTAGTGATTTTCTATTATAAAAGTAAACTATATTTTTAATTATGTAATAGTTACAAGGAATTTTTGTTATGAATCATATAACGAGTCACGTTATGCCACTTTCTTAACCCATTTAATAATGGTCGTTATATCG